TTTTTTTTTTTTTTTTTTTTAGTATCTAACAAATATTTTCAAGGATCTTACAGATGCCACTTTCCCTGACTACTTTTAATTGACGTGACAGTAAAAGTGTGGTGGTTGGTCGGCCTGGTGGGTGGTCGGCCACAATGTCTAGTGATCGGTTGGCCTAGTGGGTATTGGGCATAGACCGAACGGTGTTGGGTAAAGACCGAACGGTGTTGGGTAAAGACCGAACGGTTATGGTGACGTATGAAGTGCAATATATAAAAGACCGAACGGTGTTCCGCCAAGACCGAGCGGTTATGGTGACGGGTGAAGTGCAATATATGAAACACCGAACAGTATTGTGCAAAGACCGAACGGTGTTGGGCACAGACCGAACGGTGTTGGGCACACACCGAACGATTATGGTGACGGGTGGAGTGCAACACATGAAAAACCGAACGATGTTGGGAAAAGGCCGAACGGTTATGGGCAAAGACCACCATGCCGACCACTAGACCGAGTGGCCGACCACAACACCTTTATTGCCACGTCAATTAAAAGTAGTCAGGTGGCATGCCATGTGGGCTGGCCGTTAGCCATGTCAAACAAAAGTTAACGTCATCCAATTTTAAGGACTAATAGTAAGAGTTTCAAAACTATGAGGACTAAAAACCATCAAAGTTTCGAGTAGGGACTAAAACCAAAATCGTGTGATACTTAAGGGACGAAAAACATATTTAACCCTTTCAAAATATAAAAGATAATTTTGGAATTTATAAAAAATGTGGTGGTGCAGGGATCAATGTGGGGTGGTGTAGGGAGTAACCCTCCTAATACAAACACCTATGGTTCAATATTCAATATATATTTTTATTTTTTATTTTTTTAAATGTTTAATATGAATGTAATAGACCAAATTTGATCATAACAACATAAATTATATCTAATATTGATGAGCCACATAAATTATATTTAATGTTGATGAGCCACTTTAATGTACATTTACATGAATAATTTCTTATTAGATTTCTGTATATAAAAAGTTACATATTTAAAATAAGCTATTAAACTCGACTAATTTAAACTAATTTGTTCATTTACTTTATTTTGTGCCTTGAGACATTCAATTTAACCGAAAAGAAATACATTTCTATTAATATAAGAAATTTTTCACTTAGTTTAAAAAAATATAAAATTCATGTAACATCTTACTAAAATATGTTAATTTTTCAACATTAAGTTAGACATAAAACTATAAAACATGGTCAATAAAACAATATATATATATATATATATATATATATATATATATATATTAAAAAGAATGTGGAGCTTTTAAAATGAAGAAAAATTATTTAATCATCAAATTACAAGGGAAAACTAAAATGAAACTCTCTTACAAAATATTCTGTTAGGTTCAAGTAAATGAAAAGACAAGAAAACTATAAATATATAAGAGCAAGTATAAAAACCAAAATGAAACTCTCTTACAAAATATTTTTTTATGTTCAAGTCAATGAAAAGACAAGAAAACTATAAATATATAAGAACGAGTATAAAAGATCGAGTGAATATTTTCTATAGAATGATATATTATATTTAATTAATAACAATATCAAGTAAATATGCTACAATTGGAAAAATCTTATTTAAATATTATATAATTTTATAGGATATACTCATTCATTATACTCATTCATTATACTCATTCTTGTATATTTATAGTTTTCTCGTGTTCTTGCTAACTTAGCCTTAAAGAATTTTCTGTGGATGAATTCTTCTCTAGTTTTTACTTATAACTTAGTAGTCAAATTCTTTTGCTTCATTTCGGAGTCTTCACGCTCTTTTTTGGTATATATATATATATATATATATATATATATAT